ATGAAGCAGAAGGAAGATTGATTTTCACGAGCTACCTTGTACCTGAAGGAATGGAAGTGGCAAATTACTTGTTCCCTGAGCAAACATGACAGGAATGCCATAGAGGGAATTTATATATATGTAAATGCATAGGGGTCACACTGGTGTAATTTTTACAAAGTGACCTTAGCCACCAGGGGGGCATTTTTAAATCTGCATTTGTCTACATGGGAAAGGCTGAATAAAACTGCAAATACCTGCATTGTGTGGGAGGTAGCAACTAACACAACTCATAAATAATGTACGATTCAACACAGTAGAGAAGATAATTTAAATGGCTGCATTATTTCTGTACAAGAGACTTGGGGTCTCAAGTGATTTCTATTACTCATTTAGGCTTTTTCTGAAGTAGCAAATAAAATATTTGTCATAAAAAGAAAACTAAGAGGACGTGGGACTAATTTTCTATCAGATTTTTGTCTCAAGCATTTTGTTATGATTCAGTAGAGAAATAGGCTTATGTCTCTCTTTGTGAACACTTGCATTCACAGGGTCTGTGTATTTGCAAAAGGCAAATGGGCCTTACTGACAGTGAAACTTCCCACATATGTAAAGCAGGAACAAATGAATTTTGAACAACTTCAGAGAATATGTTTTATGTAAAGAAAAGAAAAATAAGGAGCAATAGAGAAGAATGCTGTTACTCGCTAGGAAACATGAACATTTTATTTTTGTATAAGCTTTTAAAGGAAGAGTAAAAGCTATTTTTTCCTTTCAGTTTTTACTCCTCAACAACAAAAATAACATGAGTTTGTATTTCACCTAAAATCAGCAAGCAAGTCCGTTTAGCACTGGTCATACAATATAAGGTAATTAATTCTGAGCTGTTGGCAAGGTAGCTGATCTCAAGTCCAGAAACAAAGAAAGAAGAAAGTAGAAACACGAAAGCTTACGGATGCTACATTGAAAATACACACCTGTGCATGGCATTTTCAGTGCAGCTGAATGGTTGGACCCCATCTGCTGTTGAAAGTGGGCTGACAGTGAAGTGCAGCAGAGACAAGGAGAGCCTGTGCAACGCTGGAGTATATTCACAGTTTGCTGTTGTTGAGCCACAGAGGGCAGGGGGAGGGATTTCTGCTGATGTGGCAGCTTGTGAAACTCCTCTGCAGCTTCAGATATAGTTTCTCCTTGAGAAAAAAAAGTCCTGCAGTTTTTTGTCACTAATCACTAGAACAGTCTATTCTTGAGCTCATGATACCAGACTGGTGTTGGTCTCATGGAGTGTGCTTCAAGCAAAAGAAATCTTAGGGAGCAAAAGTAACAAATCCTATGAATGAATCCTTGTGTTATGGTGTCAGTGAAGAGCCAGGCACAACAGAGCCATCTCACACTCAGCCACTGCCTGTTTGAATTATGTGGGTGACATCTTTTTGTTATATTTTGAATGTGTTCCTGAACCAAAAAAGGAGCCATCTTTCTTTTTTCTTGCTTCAAAGCACATTGAAAAATGTACTCAAACACGGCAGACATTCATGTCGTCTTTTGTGTGAAAATGCAGAGAATTCCTTGGGTTTATTTCCAGTATGTTAGGTTAGAAACTGAAGGAAATTCTTTGTTACACATAAAGCTCATGTGTAAAATTGATTTTCACATGTAGGTGTTTCCTATAGCATGGCTATTCTCTGTTTTGATCAGCTTTGGCTTATGTGGCATTATTGAAGGCTGGATGGATCACAGTGAGGGAGAGGTTCTGAAGAAAAGAAAGTAAATAAAATAATAAATGTCTCAAAAAGAAAACTATTCAGGTTAATATCTACAGTTTGTCTGTGGAGCTCTGCATCACCTCTAGTAAAAGCAGACATCATTTCAGAGCTTATTTTTCCTACTTATCACAGCCAGTTATGTTAGTGTAATAACAGCACTGAAATGGACTCAATTTTATTTCCTGGATGCACTTACCTGACATAGATCAGGGTTGCAGGAGGCTAATAGTTATTTCACAGCTGAGGTCAAATGCTACTGAGTCCCAGTGTCTTCTCAGTGCCCTATCATGGGCTGTTTTGCAAATCCATAACAAAATAACCAGCATCAGGGTTTCAGAGCCCAGGTGATAATGCATGCAGTGAGATACTGAGCATATCTCATGGCATCTCTGTCCTCTCCTTCTTTTCTAGCTCCTGACTCACTTTGCCAATGATGTGCATCCATCCTAACCTCTCAGCTTCTTGGACTACAAACCTTTCATTTTTTGTTTCTAGGGCTGTGTTGCTACAATGTGGTCCTTGTGTGTAGCAGGACTGCTCGGAGCAGAGAGCTTCACGTCTTTGTGCTCTTGCAGCCTCTTGTCTGTCCTTGGACTGACCACTGAGGGTGACAATGCACACCGTCACAGACCTGGGTCTAGGGTTGTGTAGCGTAATTGCTTTGAAGGTTAACATCCTCTTCCAGATTTTTCTATTAGAACAGCTGAATGTTATGAATACTTTAACTGATCAGGGTTTTTTCTGTAGTTCTTCTGGTGGCCTCTGAACTATTAGTCCCAAACTGCTCCTTGCACTGATTTTTCTGTTAATTATGTTCATTATGAGACTATTATTCGACACAGTTCAGATTTTTGTCCTTCTAAAGGTGAATACCACTAATAACTAATGCAGAAAAATGTAATAGGCTTGTGGTGCAGAAAGTGGTGAATAGTTTTTCTCATGATTGGGAAGTCTAGCAATGGCAATAAGCCCAGATTTTCTGTGTCAAAGCTGAAACCCTTCCCTGACTTTGCAGAAAACAGTCTCACTGAGTGCTAGCTTACTCCTTTTTGGTGTGCTCAGCAGTGTGCAGGGGTTTGCATCTTCACTCTGCCATGCATCCTGAGGGCTGTTCTCAGGCAGAGAGGTTGGTTTTTTCTCTTTCCCTGCCACTACTGTTTTTCCTGATGCATTTGCGTTTTCTGATGTGCATTTGCTGCCAGTCTCACGGCACAGTGAGGGAATCTGGCATCAGCAGAATACAGGCAGAAACTGTATTAGATTCAACCTTGCTTTAATGGTGCAAGTCCCACTGGGTTTTGAGCAATGTTATGTAGGTGAGGAAGAAAGATTTGATTTTAATGAGAGATGACTTGGGACCAGCAGCATAACAGGTGCAGTATGAGAATCCAGAGTGAAAGAGTTAATTCATATTCTTTTCACAGACATAGCTGTGAAAGAGCATATGCTGAATGTGCATTCTAGTCTCATTTTTTTCTTCTTATTTACAGTGACAAATAATGTATTTCCCTTTAGCTTTGGGTGGTTCATAAACCTGGAGCTGATGATGAATATGCAGTTCACACTCCAAAGGCACTGGAAGTAGTGCAAGAAGGCAGACCTTAGAGTGGTTCACAGCACACTGTGATCTCTGCTGTGATTATTAATCAGTCAGGCTTTCAGGGGCACACACACCATCCTGGCTACAGCATTTTCTTACTCCTCTCTCCTTTTTCTTGATAAACGTGATATCTAAACCTCTGGGAAGCACATAATATATGTGTGACTCCTGTAAAAGAATGCTGAGCACTGCTTGCTCTGAATTCATGTTTGAAAAGGTTTGGTGCACTCTTCAGTGGGTTGTTAGTTTCAGTCATGTTTTCTTACACACAGCCTGGAGAGCGAAATTGGCCATTCTGGGGGCAGTGGTCTGGTTGCAAGTCTGGAAGTCATAAGTGGAGTTGTGGGGTGTGTGTTACCTTATCAGCGTGTGGTGTTATATTTGAAAGAAATATATTTGAAAGAAGAGGAATTGTTTTGAAGAAGCGGAAAATTATTTAGGATTTTCAACATATTACTGGTTAAATCTGTATTAAAGCAGTCTACATTTCAGAGTTATGGTTGCCCAGGATAGCATTGTACACAAGCAGAGGAGAAGAGGTTCACTTGAATTCCTTTGGGTTTCTTATGAACACAATAGGAGAAAAATATGCAACCATAATCAAGTAATGCATTTTTTCTGCTCATAAAAACAACCTAGTTCCAGGCATTACAATACAGCAATAACTATGTTCAAGTGATCAAATTTTCAGCTTTTTTGTATAAATGGTTTGAAATAGTTATCATTGTTCTGTTGACCTATCAGCAGAAACATGAGCATTGTATGGAGCTGTTCCCGTCCCTAGGCTTCTTCCACAGGAGGAAGTGACAGAAGGACTCATTATTGTACCCCTAGCCGCTCTGCACAACTGTCATCCTTGAGCACTAGAACCTACATGCTTGAACTTGTCTTTTTGGCAGGTGGAGGGGTATTTTTACTTTGGAGGAGGTTAGTGAGAAATAAGTCATGTGTTATCTTGTGCTTGAACCACTCTGGTGGCTTGCTGTCACAGTGAAAACATCACTGAGTGAGATGAAGGGGGCTCTGTGCAATTTCCCTTGGTGCAGTAAATCAGATCTTTTCATTACCCAAAGGTAGTGAGGAGAGAGGGTACTGAATCTGCCCTGCTCTACTTCATGTTTCCAAACCCCTCAAATCTTCCTAACAGGATTTCTCTGCAGGAGGACTGGGATACGAACTGAAGGTCTATTCAAATCTGTTATTTCCTTAGGACTCGTGGGCAAAATCCAAAAAGAGCTGCAATCCCAAAAGTCAAAAACACCACTGTATGGTCAGAGACAACTGCACGACCATGACTGCCTGCAGACACAGTAGTGGAACTGCTCAGTTTATCAAAATCTGCTCAGGGATGCACAGGTTCATCCTTCTGCCTTTGGAGTCTGCTGTGGTTATGAACACTCTTTGTGCCCTGAGAGAAATGATGATGCTGCTGAATTCTCCTGGTACTGACTAGGGTGGAGGAGTGATATCAGACCAGGGTGGGAGGTTATCTTGCTACTTTATGTACCTCATTTAGAGTTAAGCAGAATTTAAGACTTTAAGATTGTGAGCTGGACACTTATAAAAACTTAGTCAATTCCCCTTAAATTAGGAAAAATATGTATTTTTAAGAAATCTTAAGATAAATATTTAATTTTGTGTATTTTTCTTTTCAGGATGAATAAGAGATACTTACAGAAAGCAACAAAAGGAAAACTGCTAATAATAATATTTATTGTAACACTGTGGGGAAAATTAGCATCTGGGGCAAATCATCATAAAGGTAAGAAATTCTGTTCTGTTCTATCATACTGCTGTGTCTGTGGTCTCCATCAACAAATTCAGAAGGGTCTGATCTATGTGACCTTTTCTCCTCATGTGTATTTGTGTCTCCTGACACTGGTTCGCTAATCAGTGAATTAGCATTTCACTAAATGCTAAAAAAGAGTAAAAAAAAAAAAAAAAAGTGAGTACATTTTGTCTCACAAAAATAGTTATCAGCAGATGTATATGATGCAAGTGGATTCCTGGAATGAACCCTAGAAAGAAATAATTTTTAGTAGCTTATATGATGCTTCTGTGTGCAGTTTTCTACCAAGATTAACTTCATGGATAATGTGTATTGAATGAGACTGTTTCATCATCAAAAAAATACTGCCACTTTGCAGTATTGTCTGGTTTCTATGCTTTGCTCCTAACACCTGAGCAGGAACTTTTGGTGGCAATGTGAGATTTGTTTCCTCTTGGTCATTCCAGCCCTTAATATGTATGTATGCATACCAGCATAAGCGGTGATGGATTATTTAATATTGCAAAATATTAAAAAAATGCACATTCTTTTGTATGTGTGTTTCTGTTAACCCTAACACAAGGAACAAGCTCTCCAGATTCACAAACTAATGCCTTCTTAGAGGCTAATAGGTCTTTTGATCAGCAGTATAACAGGATTTTGAACTCCATTTCTCATCGTCATATAGTATTTGTTGGCTGTTTATCTGCTTATACAATGTCAGAATTAACTCTAACAACGTGGATAAAGCAAGGGTGGGACACAAACATTACCACAAGCTAAGGAGTTAAACCCAAAGGAAGGATTAAAAAAAAAACCCAGTTAGTTAATTTCTCTGGTTCCATGTACATTTTACAATGTTCACTCTAGTGATAGGATTTTATGAGCAGGTATTTTTGTCCATCAAGCTGCTTGATATTTTCCTGTTGTGTGAAGATACCTTACTTCAAAATGACCCACTGATTAAGGACTTCAGGATGCAGAGACACTTATGCAAAGTCTTATACAGGTTGCAATTTGACTGCAGACAAAACAGAGTCTGATGTGGACCAGCAGGCCACCAGCTGGGCGTCATGCCAGACCAGAACTGTGCTGATACCCTTTCCTCAGCCTTGTTCCCCGCAAAATCAGAATTCAGATTTCTGATGTGGCTTCCCAATTTAGTTGCCTATTGGAAAAGAGCCAAGATATATCCTGCATACAACCTGCATTCAGAATACTTCTGCTTTGATTATTTCTCTTTAAACATCCAAAAAGCCAATATCCAGACCATTTTGATTCCATGAGCAAGGGCTGGTCAAGCTGTGCTTGCCTCTGTGGAATTCAAACTTTACCAAAGTATGCTTGCTGTACTTTTTGGAAAGCTGATGAGTAAAACCTATCACCATGTATTTCATAGACACAAATTATAACCATAAAGACTATTTTGGGATTTAGTGCTTCATAATTGAGAAAAATAACATCCACCACTAATTGTAGCTTAGCTGTGCTAGGGAAACCCCAGCAGAACTATACATTGATTATCTGGACAGTGTTTGTTGTTTAAACCTCAGCCTTAGAGCAGAGAGAACTTAAGGAATATTAAATTAATTTTTTTTAGATAAAAAAGTGCATCGTCCCCCTTAAAAATGAGATTATTATCTGTAGAGTCTTCTTTATATTCCTGCAAGCTAACAAAAAGCTTCTTTTTCTTTAATTTGTATATTTTCATAGCTTTAACAAAATATATAATAATGAAAAAATAATAACGAGAAGCATGACTTGAGTATTTAATTTGGAAAAAAAAAATGGAAAAGCAGCTACTTTACCTGTTCAATTACTTTTAGAAATAAAAAAAAAAAATTCCTAAATATTTTGGCTTGTGGATTCAGTAAATCAACTGCATTCCCTATACTGGGGATTTTTAAAAAAGCAAAACTCAGAGTTATGCAGCTCAATTACCATTGATTTCCAAAGGTACTGGGAGTTTGAATTCCCATTGTGTCATAGAAAATCTTCCCCCCTACTCTCATGGCAAAAATGGAGCCAAGGTACATTGAAGGAGAACTTGATGCTGTTCACCTTTGCATGGAGTTTTCAAATACTGAGAAACATGTGAGTTTTTTCAGCACTAATTATCCCTAGCATCATTAATCTTCATTTATAGAAGTCCTTACTAACATATTGACATGACAAACCCTTAATGACTTTGAAGGAGCCCTTACAATTCCAAAAATCAATAATCTGCATTTGAAAAAAATCTTTACTTCCCTATTGACTAACTCATATTATTCACCAGTTGCACTAACTTTCAAACCCATCTCTTTTTCAGAAAGCTATTGTTAAAGAAAAGTGCAAGAAGAAAAAGATCATCAGTGTGTGAAAAATTGTTTAATGAGCATTCTGCTCTCCAGGCAGACTTCAGGAGGAATATAAACAGATGACTCTGACAGGCTATGAGTAGGCTTGTTGCATTTATTTCTGGGATGTGGCACAAATGAAAACTCCCAAGTCAGCAGCAAGAAAAATAGAGGTCAAGGCAGGGCATGGGAAACAAGGCTCTGAGGACCAATTGAGCAGCAGGGTTACAAGCTGGGATTTCAGATTACATCTTTTCAGTGTGATGCGTGCGGGTGCCAAATCCACCCCTCTTTCTCTTGAAAGTCTGGTTTGAAGACACTTCTGCTCCCATTATCTTGACTGATGGTTGGAGTTTCATCATTCTGGACAGTAAGTCCAAGAGCTAAGAATGTTAACAGTGTTTAAAACAACACAAATCTTATTCTTTTACTGTACACAGGATTATGAGTTTTACAGTGTGATTCCTGGCTGTGCACATACTTGTATTCCATTTATCTTGTCTTCTGTAAAAAAAACCCAGTAACTTTGCTATTTTTCCATTTTGCTGTGGAACCTGATACCATGGTGATGGGTGCCTTACCCAAGCATGTGCACCTGAGCCTGCAGTACCAGAAGTATTTGTGCTGCAGTAGCTACATATGAGGAGAGAGGCATATCAATCCCCAAAAGGATGTTGTCAAGTGTGTGAGTCAAAAAACTGATAAAGACTAATCCTGATCCTCCTACACATTGCTAGCCCTTGGAAAACAAACAAACCTGTACAAACATACAGTGTTTGCTGGCAGATATAGCAGGCAGGCATCAGTTCAGCATCACTGCCTTTTTGCTATTTCTGTCATAGGGAGAATGAATTTATTTGATGACCATTGTATCACAGCCCATGTTTAATGTGTCAAGTGTTGAACTGGTCCTTTTGAGAAAAAAATGTACTGATACCCCCTTACAAGCACTCCTTTCTAGAGAAGAGACTACTGTGGCACAAAATTTCTACCCTAAAATTAAAAACTCTTTCAAAATACATAAATTCGTGAACTTTTAGCTCACTAAGGTTTTTTTTTAAATTGATAATGCAATAAAATATTATAATTAAGTGAAGAGCGCTTTTGAATCTAAGTATAGTTTAATATTTCTCAAAATGCAAAACATAAAGTTTAACATTAGTTTTAAATCCTGGAAAAAATAAGAATTAACTTAAAAATATGGCTAATGATGAATGCTTACATGCAGAGGGAATTTGTTACAGAACCAGAAAACACTCCAGTTAGATGAGTAATTGAGTATTTTTTGACATATCATGAAAAGTCATGATAATTTATTTTAATTTTAAAAAAAGTCACAGAAGCTGAATTTATTAATCTGATGCCTATTATATAGATAAATTAAAATATCGTACAAGATGCAGAATTGCTCCTCCTAATTGTCTGTGAATTTTCACTAAATTAGAAGTGTGAGGGAATGTCTTTCTATTCACAAGGAGAAAATGAATTTTGATTTCTCCTTGCAGAGGAGGAGCTGTTCCAAAATCCAGCTGAATGAAGGAGCCCTTAAAGCTGATGGTTAGGTCACCCTTCTTGGGTAGGTCTGCCTTTCTCAGCTGCCTTGCTGAGGCAGGAACACTGCTGGCACCAATGCTGTAATGCAGCCTGTGCCACACGTGCCCGGAGTTTGGGAATGGGTATCACTATGAGAAACAAGAAACTACATTCCTAATGTTTTGGGACTCTGCCAAGGTAAGACTAGAGAATAGTCCCAATGGTTACATAGGACATCTCTGAAGTATTCAGTATTTCTGTAGAAATACCTTCATCATGATGTTATAGTGTTTAGTATGGGTTTACATTTGTCCTTTCTATTGAGGATTTTATATTGTGTAGAAAACAGCATTCATAACACAGAAATAGAGGGCATTTGTATTCAATTTAAAAACAGAAAGTAGCCTCAGTGCAGAGTACAGAAACCAGATATAAGACATTTCTTCCACCTAAGTAACCACTAGAGAGCTACATGCTCCCTCTTGTTTTCCTTCGAGTGAGCTGAGTGAGCCCGATTGGAGGTAATGCCATTCTTTGGGAACATAAGATATGTGGTTTGAGCTACGGAGGGCACCAAATTCAGGACTCCCAGTTCCACTGTGGGGGCTCTAATATAAAGGGTAAGCAGATGCAGTATTTTTTTTTCCTCAGTTTGCACTTTTTTGAAGTACCAATACTGGAACATTTGTTGAGGGATCTGACCCTGCTGATAAATTCACCTTCTGGTTGTGTGGACCTGTCAAAGGACAAAAGAGTTGTTCTGCATATTTCCAGGTTCTTTACTGGAGTTAGAAAATAAAATGTCCAATATTTAAATGAGGGAAGTTGCAGGCATGAAGAGGAATGTGTGTGGATGCCTTAGGAGCTGCCAGGTGAGGCTGGAAACTTTTGGGTAGGGTCTGTCAAAATATTAGATGGACACATCCACTCATGTATTATTTTTCTGTCAGTCCTGCTTTGTTCAAAAACTCTTTTGTCATATTTTCTGTCTCAAACATGAACCATCTTATCTCTTGTAGAAGTTTGGCCCAGAGATAAATTCTTTTAAATGAGAGTGCTTTGTGTGCAGCTTTCACTAACCTAATTCTAAGTGTAATTAATGTTTAAATATAGAAACAAAGG